GTAGTTCTTTTTCCATGAAACCAGTCTTTTTTCAAACCTTTCCACCACCAGGTTCCAAAAGCTCTCTCTCATGGGATTATCACCTAAAGGCAACCCTAAGTAGTTCAAAAACCACCCCGAGACTTCACACCCCAGCACTTTAGCACTCTCCCTGATCTCTCCCTCCTCCAAATTTACCCCCACAACACAGCTTTTCCCAAGGTTAACCTTCAAGTTGGACATTTACTCAAACAGTTGTATCACCGACTTCAAATTCCTTATAAAACTCACATTACCACCTTCACAAAACAGAATCGTGTCGTCAGCAAACTGCAAGTGAGTGAGGGGGGTTTCCGCCCTCCCAACTCTCCAGCCTCGAATGAGGCCCCTAGAATCTGCTCTGTGAATCAGTTTCCCCAAAACCTCCGCAATTAGAATGAACAAGAAAGGAGAAAGGGGGTCTCCTTGTCTTATACCCCTACTGGCTGGAAAGAAATCTACCACTGTCCCATTCACTAGCACTGAGTAATGACAATTCCGAACACAACCCATGATCCACTTACACTATCTAGCCCCAAACCCAAATTTAGTCAAAACTTTCCTCAAGAAGTCCCAGCACACCAAGTCATAAGCCTTTTCCAAGTCCAACTTACAGACCACTTCCTTCTTCTTATCCCTCTTAAAGTTCTCCACACTCTCATTAGCAATTAAAATTTGATCAGTAATTTGTCTTCCATTCACAAAAGCTCCTTGATAGTGTGCAATGATATCTGGCAAAACCTTCTTCAGCCTCAAAGACAACACTTTTGCAATGATCTTATACAAGCAATTAACCAAGCTAGTTGGCCTAAAATCCTTCGGGTGTGAAGCATCTTTTTTTTTGGAATTAAGGCTATAAATGTAGAATTCACACCCGGATTGACAATTTCTCTCCTGAAAAACTCCTCAAACACCTGCAAAAGATCATCTTTCAAAATATCCCAACAGTCCTGATAAAAAGCCATTGTGAACCCATCCGGCCCTGGAGCTTTTGTTCTATCCATAGAAAATACAGCCTCCTTGACATCTTCTAAACTAAAGCTTCTTTCCAACCTTCTCCTGTTCTCCACCCCTACATCTGGCCAATCCAATCCTTCTACCCACACCCTTCTATACACAGGCCTTCTTAGAATAGATTTGAAGTGCTCCACACAAGCCCCGGCAATCTCCTCTTGATGTACTAACTCAACTCCATCTACTACCAACTTGGAGATCAGGTTCTTCCTTCTCCTGCCATCTGCTAGAGCGTGGAAAAACCTAGTGTTTCCGTCCCCCTCTTGCACCCATTTACACCGAGATTTTTGCCTCCAGCTAATTTCCTCCTTGTGCAGGCAGTCCTCTAACTGTCTTCTCAAATCTCTCCTGAGCTCCTTGTCTTCCTCTCCAAATTCTCCCATTTCTTCTTTAGAGTCAAGGCCTTCAATCTTATCCAACAGATCTCCTTTTCTTTCTTCTATCCTCCCAAATTCCACTCCTTGATTTTTGCTTTCAAAAATTGAAGTTTCTTATGGAATTTCATCCCCTCCCATTCCACCAATGGGTTACACTCATACCACCACTCCCTCACTTTGTTAGTAAACCCCGGATGGAGTAACCACATATTTTCAAATCTAAAGGGGGTAGGACCTCCACACCTTCTTTCCTCCTTACATAACACTATGGGCCAGTGATCGGAGGTCACCCTTGGAAGAGCTCTAGAAGTCAAGGTTCCCCACTGATCTTCCCAATCCAAAGAGAACAGGAATCTATCCAGTTTAGAGCAAATGGGTCTAGATTGGAGATTTGACCAAGTAAATGTCTTATGGGCTAGGGGGATCTCTTTAAGCTCAAAGTCATCCACAAAGTTGTTAAACTTCCTCATGCTTTTTGTCACCCTCTGGTTAACCTTATTGGATTCCTCCAAGAATCTAATCACATTGAAGTCCCCACCCAAACACCAGAGCCCATCCCACAACCCTCTAACATCAACCAATTCCTCCCACAGCTCCTTTCTCTTTCTGTAGTCAATCGGTTCGTAAACATTTGTGAGCACCCACGTAAAATCACCCCCAAGCTGCTTAAACTTCACGGAAACCAAGTACTTTCAAATCAACTCCTCCAGGCCTTCAACCACATCCCTCTTCCACATTGTTACAATCCCCCTGGACGCACCCTAAGAGGGAGCAACCACCCAGCTAATCCCCCTGGCTTTCCAAACACTCCGTGCCCAATTGTTATTAAACTCCATTCTCTTAGACTCTTGCAACAGCAGAATGTCTGGGTCAAACCGTTTTATTACCTCTTTTATTGTCGCTCTCTTCCTTGCGCTCCCAATTCCCCTCACATTCCAACTAAGAATCTTCATTCCACTTCTTTTTTAAACCCCTTGCCACCTTCCACTACTTTCCCCCTTTCCTYMTATCTCCTTTTACCCCAAGCTTCTTGTCTCCTTCTACATCTCTCTTCAATCTCTCTACTTCACTCAATCTCATCTTCTGTGTTCTGATCTCCTTCTTCCTCTTTTGTAATCTTTCTTTCAACACATTCAAATCTTCCAACCTACAACCCAACTTCTCTACAAATTTTGCTATCATGTCTTCTCTCACCGAGTCCTCCACCCCTACCCTTCCTACAGAAACCCCTCCAACTCTGCCCATCTGCCCGTTCTTCCTCTCCCCTAGTCCCACCTCTGATCTTTCTTCTCCATCCATCCTCCCTCTCCTGATATCTCCCTCCTTCCCTATTCCTTTCCCTCCATCTCCACTCTCAATCCTTTCCCTCCCCTCTTCCTTCCTCCCCTTCCCTCCTCCAAATCAACTTTCCTTCCACTTCCTTAAACACTCTGTCAATGATTTCCCACACTTTTTCACTCCTAAACCTTCCTTCCCGCACCTTCCCACTTTCCTTCCTTCCCCTCTCCCCCTCCTCGGAGAGCCCGCCTTCTAGCACGGCTGCATAATGATGGGCTACAGAACATGGAACAGGAATGAAATCTTGAACCAAAGACACAGGAGACACATTAGTAGCACAAACCGAATTCACTTGGTTACCTGGGATTGATGGACAAGCTAGAAAAAGACTGCTCCCAGCCTCCCTCTCTTGTTCCAGAGGTTGGTAAACATCTGTCTCCCTTAGTTGGTTGGGAAGTACTTCTGTCCTTTGGTCAACCTAGTGATCTTTCCACTCTACCCCTGGTTCACCCCTAGATGGTGTGTTCCTGCTCTGCTTCATGTTCTCCCGGTTTACCCCTTCTGATAATCCTTGCACACTCTGTAACCTTGGGAATGAGTTGACCCTATTGCAATCTACACCCTGAAATAAGCTTGCAATATTCTACCCATCCAAGTCACCTCCATCACAACTACCTTCGTCGTTTACACTGCCCATGCTAGTACCATCAGCAGAAGGGTCCTCCGCTTCTTCATCTCCTTCACTGCACTGCGCCCAGCCTTCATCCTTCTCTTCCCTCTCATCAGTTCTTTCCCTAGCGAATCTTGGATTCGGCCTTTCTGAGGAGCGTCGCAGTGGGCTATGCTCCTCCAAACTTCACCGGGAAACCCACTGCAACTCTGGTTTTTTCTCCAACTTCCGCCGCTGCGCACAAGCCCCCCCTTTCTCGCGACTTGGGACGAGGATAGACCATTAACATTGTCTATCAACACCCCAAGAGAAACC